GTGTGTGTGTGTGTGTGTGTGTGTGTGTGTGTGTGTGTGTGTGTGTGTGTGAATTTAGTCTTTTTTATAAACCATTCTTTTCCGAAAATTTGATACTTTTGTTCACAAAAACTACATTTTAACATACAGTATATGTGCATGTCAATAATGCAAAATCTACTGTAGTTACATATGCTTTATTATTTTTAATAGATCAGATAACAGCCCGCTTAAGAGACTGTTTATCAAATATCAGATTACACATAAGTATTAATTTGAGGTGAATAAACAAACTGAAACTCATTCTGGAGACAAAACAAAGCCCATGCTGTTCACAAATAAAAATAAAGTGCCTCAAACTTTACCAGCTATTCTCTTAATGGTCYAGTTATAGAGTTTGTAGAGACTTGWAAATATCTTGGTGTTGTCATTGATCAAAAGCTCTCCTTCGAATGTCACATCCCTTCCTACCACTTCTGGACYATGGTGATGTTCTTTATGTGACTGCCCCGGCCAKCTCTGTACTCACTGGTAAAYTGGCCATCATTTTCTACACACAGACTTCTATATGATTAGATTTTATTTCCTTCAGTGTCACGTCAGTTCAGAACTTGGAAAAAGCCCTCCTCTGCTCCATCTTCCTGGAACTTACTGCAGCTAGAAYTGGAAGTGTCCAGTTTGATCCTACTGAAAGATTTTAAATGCATTTTAAAGAAAATGGAAAAATCATCATTTCAAGCCTGCTCCTGCTCTTAGGTTTTGTTTAACTTTGCTTTCCTTTAAATGGTAAAATTATGTTTTATGATCTTTGTGTAACTGTGTATCAAATGTCTTATAAATTAAACTACAGTACATGTCTCAATGAGATTACCTGCCTAATAAAAAGTAAGTAATGAATGCAGTTGTACACAAATTGCAACCAATAATAATGATGATAAAAGTAAAAAAAAAACTAAACTTATGCTTCAGCAAACATAAAAACACTAATTACTCATAGTCAATTTACCAAATAATAAACAATTGTGCTGCAATGCAACAGGATAAAGCAAGTATTAAACAGTCAGTTCCTAAATGRCTGTGGCACATTCAGAAATTTTAATGGGGTGGCCATGTGGGGTTAGGTGTCACACCAAAAGCCAAAAGCCAGACAAGATTTTTAGGAAATGTTGTCATATCTTTGAAAAATACATTAATACAGATTCTTWCTCCACTACATTTAGCTTGTAATTGTTACTTTTGGTTCAGCATAGTTTTGTAATTTGCTGTTGTCATTCTTCCTTCATAAAATGCAGTTGTCCACACGCTRTGTTTCTCACAAGAGGAACCAATCACAGTTGTAGCTCACACCTGGGATGGATTTGGAATTACATCATCTTCGTTAACAGTTGCAAGSTGAGCTCCCACCTTCRTTTCAAACAGAATCCAGCAATGGAGATGGTTGAAGAAACTCAAGTGGAGAAACCAGCACACCCATGACCATATCTCAGCTTGATGTTTGAGATTTTAGGATTTAAAAATTGTTTGTATCAGTTTAAACGTCTTCTGTGTTCACCGCGGATAAACAGCATTTCTGCATTTAAGAACTCACCATTCACTTTATTGTATTTTTTTATGTTGAAGTCTTTACAGGTGGTGAATTTGTTGCAGAGTGTATGTATTGATACATCAGGTGGTTCCTGAGAGTTACAAGGTTATTTAAATTCTCTCTGAAAACAATACAGCTGTTGGTATTAGAAAATTTAATTTGTACTTTTGAATACTTGAGTATTTTAAGATGCATATACTTTTAAATACTTATTTTCAAAAGTAAGTACTTCAGCACTTTAATTTTTGACTGAGTAACTTTTACTTGTAGTTGAGTAGATTTGACCATGAGTATCAATACTTTTACTCAAGTACTAGAGTTGAGTGCTTTGTCCACCACTGTATTTAGCAATGGTGTGAAATTCCAGTTTTTTGCCCACTATTGCYCCACCCCCACTCCTGGTGGCACCCCTGCACACATACTTTCCTAGAAAGATTTGTGTGTGATTAAGTGTGAGACAAAGCAAAGCAACATAAAAAGTGCACCCAATCTGAAGCCAAGATTAGGTAACCAGCAATATTTATACACACCACTGTTAATTAACACACATTAGATATGTAGCAAGCTGTTTTTTATAGACTGACACACATTTATTTTAACTATAACTTGTATAATTACTGTTTAATACCTTTTATATGTTATCACACAATTTGCCATGAGTTTTTAGTTTTAGGCTATCTGTAATTTTTTTTCAAAGCAATGGAGTATACAAAAAAGAGAGAAAACTGTGACACAAATTACCAAATAGTAATTTAACATTAGACAGCAAAGTGGTTAGCCATAGTTTGATAAAATATCAAACACAAGGATTTTTGCACCATTAAAAAGGTGATTTCAGGCTTTACATTTAAAAGCTGAGCTGAATTTATTCGAKCACCAAAGGTCTGATCTGACAAGGATGGGATATTGTTCAACAAAGCAGCAGAGCTGAATGACCAGACCAAGACAACAATTAAAAGGTAAGTGCAGTTTTATTTACAG